TTAATGAATTATAGGTGTCACGCCTAATGCTTTCTTTATCACACAGAACGCGAGCTAAGTAGGGTATGGTTGAGTTTTTGTACTTGCTGGTACGAGCATATAGTTTTCTATATTGGCTTCTGGTTTTACCTGATGAGATGCAAGGGGAGAGTTGTGAGTGAAGAGGGTGGTGTGAGTTAGATAAAATGGACTTGGCCCATTTTTCACATGAGTCCATGTGCCTGTCAACCAAAATATTAACAAGCTGGTTAAGTGGCACGTTGCTTACTCTGCTGACAACATTTAACATCCTGCGTAATATGTTGTAGTCTTTCTTCAGTAGCCCAGGAAAAACTAAGGGGGAACAATAGAGAATAATAGGCAGGATGCGAGAATTAACGAATTGTAGGAGTAGGGGTTGGGTAATACCAGAATGTTTTAACTTCTTAATGTAGAAGGCAAGACGGAATATTTTCTTAGAAATTGCTAAGATATGAGACGACCAGGAGAGATCAGCAGATAGAGTGACACCTAGGTATTTAATTTCCGATTTAGTTTCTATTTCAGTGCCGTCTATTTTGCATACCTCGTGAGAGCCAAACAGTTTGTTTAGGTCGGATTTATGCCTAAAGGTGAAATTGACTGTTTGGCATTTGGAAGGGTTTAGAGTAAGACCATTTTCCTTGGACCACTGGTTGATTTCTGACAGAAAGCCATTAAGTTTAGAGCAGTCGCTTTGACATTTGATAGGCAAAGATGCAGACAGATCATCAGCGTATTTGACAAAATTAATGTCATTTGAAGATGGTAAGTCATGTAGAAAGAAGGAAAAGAGAAGTGGGGAGAGTACAGCGCCTTGGGGGACTCCGGCTTCAGTGAGTGCAGCAGAGGATGATTTACCTTTGTATACGGTGTACTGCTTTCTGTTAGAGAAGTAGGAATGCAACCAGTTAGTGACCCAGGACTCAGTTTTCGTCAAAGAGAGCTTATTTAGAAGGAGACATCTAGGAACAGAGTCGAAAGCAGAAGTGAAGTCAAGAAACGTGCAGCGGACGTATTTAGCACCTTTATCTAATGATGAGACAATGTTGTTGTGTAAGACAGCTGCAGCGTCTAATGTACTCCTACCCTGTCTATAGGCAAATTGTTTTGGGTCTTCGAAGTTTTTAAGGGAGGGTTCGAGTTTAAGAAGTATTAGTTTTTCCATAACCTTTAGAAACGGGGAAGTGATGGCAATGGGTCTGAACTTTACGTTCTTGCCATTTCCAGGTTTAGGGATAGGGACAATTTTGATGTCTTTCCATGCATCAGGTACGATATTTTTGGAGAAAGAGGCATTTAGGATGTTGGTTAGTGGAGAACACAACACATCTGCACATTGTTTTAGAACATAGGCAGGTATACCATCAGGACCTAGGCTACGTGAGGGCTTGAGTGTTTTAAGACATTTTAGAACATCGAGAGTATTAAAGTCATGAAAGTTTTCAGCAACATGATAGGTAACATTAGAGGTAGTTAAAGTAGAAGGACAGCGTATAAAAGACTGATTAAGAGCATTAACATCATAAGAGGGAAAAGTATTACAACGCTTACTATTACCAGTAATTTCATTAAAAAGTTTCCACATACTGATTGGAGATTTACATGATAAAAGTGTATCATTATATATAGCATTAAGATTTTTGATTTCAGATTTGATCTGAGCATTAATCTTTTTGAGTCCTAACTTGTCTTTGGATTTGTACAAAGTTTCTTTTTTCCTGCGAAGTTGTTTGAGATAAGGAGATGAGAAGCGGTCGAGACGTTTGAATAGAGTTTGTTTGGGACAACATATATCAAGGCAAAACTTGAGATAATCCGTTATATTGACGATTGTGTCATCTAATGAACTTTCATGGAATAAGTCCCAGTTAGTATTTTGTAACATGCACCTTAGATTGAGTAAGTTTTCGGATGAGTAGCATCTTTGTTGTGCTTTCATAGACAGATGCGAGAAGACTTTAATGTGTGTTTTGCTGTAAATTTTTGGTAGAACACGAACAATAGAGTGATCAGAGTTGAGGATCGGTGCACGTTTACGTGCTTCATAGATTCCTTCGTCATTTGTAAAAACTAAATCCAGTGTTTTGTCTAGTCGAGTGGAAAATTTGACAATGTTAGAGTGACCAAGTGCTTCAAGGAAGGAGCAATCTGACGAGTTGAAGTCCCCAGTAATAACAGACAGAGAGTTGTCGAAGTTGGCAGCGGCGAACATGGTGAATTCATCGGCAAAACTTGAAAGATTAGATAGTGAGCAACTTGGAGAAATGTACATGTTTGTGATAAAGATGTGTTTATATTTGGGGAGATGTTTGGGACGACATTTGACGGTGATGCAGTCTATGAAGTCATTTGAGAATGAGAAGCAAACATTATTAGAAGTAGACCATTTTGAGTTAATAAAAGTTGCAACTCCACCCCCGCTTTTCTTATTACAACATATTCGGTCTTGTCTAAATAGGATGAAGTCCTTTAGAGAGATGAGATTGTCATCGTACAGTTCGTGTAACCATGTTTCTTGTAATGTGACTATCGCAGTATTGTGATAAGTGTCAGTGGACATCAAGGATTGTAGGTACATAATTTTTGTTAATGAAATGCACAACAGTTAGTTTAAACCAGTTAGCTAAGTAGAGAGTTGTAGACTACTGTCTGCTTGGGGTCCTTGGGACGGTGGAAACCAATGAGGGCTGGAGACAACTGGTGTGTGATATGGCTCAAAATCGTTGTCAATGGCAGGCGCAGATGCATTCATTCTTTGTGACTTATAATACCCAATAAAACTATACTGTTCTTCGATATTACTATTCTTTTTTTTACCTCATATCTCTGTTTTCTGTCTCTATTTTGCATTCCTTCTTACTTTCTTCCCTTGCTTTGTGTGCTACATGGAGTGTGGCGACTTGAACTGCAGCACATCGGTGCAAAGTTCTATGTTGAAGACAGACAGACTCTAGTACTAGTTTTCCAATGGTGTGGTCCTTTAACCGATGTCACCTCATGATTAAATCCAATGTATATATAATTAATTCTATTTACTGATATTTAAACAGTTTAATTATTCTTAATTATGTGCTATTATATTTTGTTTATGTTTTTTTTTTGCTCTAAATAATCTTTATAGCGGAAATTAGTGGATCCAACACCGAATCGTTTTGAACAACTTGTCACTCAAATGAAATGGCGTCTTAATGAAGGCGGCGGGAAAGCGATATACAAATTAGGCGTTGACGATGATGGACATATAAGTGGTCTGTGTCAAAGTGAATTGTTGAGTTCCCTGGCAACACTTGAACGTATGGCAAAACGTTTAAATGCTACACTGCATCCATTAAGAGAACGTATTATTGAACCAGTTGGACATGATGATGATACTACCAATTCGATAAATAAGGAATATCGTAAAGCTATTGAATTATTGGTTCGTTTAGCGCCAACAACAAATGATGGTGTAAGTGTTTATATTTTTCTGTCTACCTGTCTGTCAGTCAGTGTGTTATTTACGGCATAATGTCATCCTTTTTCGGACATGAATTCTAAAGCAGTTGTGTGTATCCTTTTACACCGTGTGACGTTGCTAACCTGACGAGCAACGTATTCCCTGTCTACTAAATTCAATTTAGATTTTTCCGTTGATTAATTTGGAGCGAAGTGCTAGGTCTCAGGTTGACAGATGACGAGTCCCAAGTGGGACGAAATGCGTATCTTGGGTTCTACTGCTAGTCACCGTCCACCACCTGATTCCTCATCTGCGGCTGATGAAATTGCACAGAAGGGTTTTGTGTCATTTATCATAGTACATTATCAATCAATATTTACTCATGTATATATATAAACGAAGAGGGAATAAAAGATGCACTGGATGCAGAACTTCGCCAGCCACACTGGAACAAGCTGAATTCACGAAAGGCAAACCATGTGCTGATTAAATTGCAACTCTATGCATAGGATGGTAGTCAAACCTCTAGCTCAACTTTCTTCATCGACTTCGGAAAGGTCTTCGACAGACAGCGTTGACCGAGAAGTAATTTGGAAAGTACTTCAACACTATGGCGTGCAGTGCCCCAAAGCCTCATCAACCTCATTCAGCAACAGCTGGCTATATGACAATCCCCCACGTGTCAGGTGATCTACAATGGAAAACTCAGCGAGGTGTTCGAAGTGCATACAGGAGTAAGACAAGCTGGCTGCCTATTATCACTGATGATATTCTTAATTGTGGTGGACTGGATTATGCGTCAGACAATGCACAGGGAGCGAGGAGACAGAAATACACTGGACCGCCGATAAAAAGACTGTAGAAGATCTGGATTTTGCTTGTGAATGATGTATGTGTAATTCGAAGACTTACTGGCGAAAATTAACAAACTGACAGAAGTTGCTGGCAGCGAAGAAAGGACTTCAAGTGAACATAGAGAAAATGGAGGTAGTGAAGATAACCAAAAAACCATTGTAGCAACAACCAGGACCAATCACTATTAATCGGAGAAATTTGGATGACGTCACTTCTTTCACTCATCTAGGAAGCATTGTTTCAACTACCGGTGGAACGAATGAAGGTGTCGAAGCCAGACAGAATCGGAAAGGGAAGATTCGCCTACACCAACCTGTCATCAGTTTGGAAATTTTCTGCACTCAGCACAAAGAACAAGATTTGGATTTTTAACACTAATGCGAAGTCGCGCAGTCCTTCTGTACAAATCAGAAACTTGGCTGGCGCGTCACAAAAAGGATTTCCAGTAAGTTGCAGACTTCTATCAACAGCTGCCTTCACTGGCTGAATACTGAAGATCAAATTACCCGCCAGGTAAAATTAGTAACAAGAAACTCTGAAAGGCAGCGAACCAACCAAAAGCTGATCGCTCAACAAATATGTAGAAGAGAATGGAGATGGATGGATCGGGCATACGTTGAGGAAGCCGTCGAATGACTCCGCGTGCCAGGCCCTCGAGTGGAATCCGAGTGGGAAGCGATGACTGGGGGTTGGTTGGAGGGTGGCTTGTAGGAGATGAGAGATTATGGGCAATTATGGACCCATCTGAAGAGGATGGCAGGAAGTAGAACAAAGTAGAGATGTGTTGTTGAGGCCGTATGTTCTAATTGGAACCCAAGGGAATAATAATAATATAAACGAAGCAAGAAAGTTGTGTGAGAGAATACCTACCCTTGATATAATTGTGAGCAGCAATAAACTGTGCTCGAAACGTGGTCATCAGCAAATATTACCGTATAACACACTGTGTGATTACTTTATCAAAATAAATTTTATCCATAATGAAACACGAAAAAAGGCACATCTTGGATCTCATCAACTAAGTGAAAGAAAAAAAGAAAATATGTCTGTCATTCAGCGGAAAGACGAATTCTTTTCTTGGGATTTGCATTTACTGCCGCCATAGTACAGTCATGTCAGTTATACACAGTATGTTTAATGAATACATCCAATAGACTTTTATATTCATAATTAATAATTTAATAATAATATTTATATTTATATATTCCACAACTTATTAAGATTAGTGAGTGTTAGTCAAATTAATATCACAGATGCGGCATCGTGAAGATGATTTATTACACAAATGTGATAATGCTAATAAAATGGATTGTTGTCACTTTGATTGGACACTAGTCAGTAACTAGTGTAATGTGTCCCTAGTCCTTTGTTTAATGCAGACTGAATTCTATCAGTCAGGTTTTCAATGTGGCCAGCATTCTAGGTAGCTTGCCATCACTGTGCACTTTGAATTGTTAATGTTAGATGGTTGGAGGCAATCGTCGACAGGAAACCTTGAACACACCTAGGTGTCGTGCTTGTGGGCACTCACCAGTTAGGACAAGGAGTATCTGCAACCTTGAAGGAACTCATATCCCATCTTCTGAGATTCGAACCCGCGTCACTCAGGGAGTGCTGCAGTCAGAGACGTTACCACTCAGGCAGTTATTTGGGCTGGCGACTGACCTCCTGTAGGCCTGTATTAATTGAACACTACCTAGTAATTAGTGTAATGTATCTAGTCCTTTATTTGGTGTGGAGAGAATTCTATTGCAGTCAAGTTTGGTGTGTGGCCACCATTCTAGGTGGCTCGCAATCACGAATCTTAGAAGGGACATGCATCAATGTGCTTGCGAATACGCCTTGCCCTGACTGGTGAGTACCAACTAGCACGAAACCTAGGTGCGTCCAAGGCTTCCTGTGGACGATTGTCTCCAACCATCTAATATCAACAATTCACAGTACAGTGCATCGTGATGGCGAGTCACCTAGTGACTAGCATGGTGACTCCATTACAAACTTGACTGCAGTAGAATGCTGTCTACACCAAGCACAAAGGACTAGACACGTGAAACCAGTTAGTTACTAACTAGTGTCTGATCAAAGTATTAAATGTATATTGCACACACACATACACACAATGGTGGGTAGCAATGGTTAACTTACTCTCTTATCGTCACGTGTGATTTTTTTTAACTCTACAAAGGTTAATTAATCATATTCACTCAATTTTTAAATCATTATAATGAATTTTAACACTATCGCCTTTTCTCACCATCTTGAAAAGGTCAAGATCATTATTAGTGATCACATTATTACTACCATTACTCTTATTTGCATTGTTTTTGGCTGATATGTTAAGCATTAGGAGTCAGTTGCAAAACAAACTCTAATTCATTTATTATTATAATTATTATTTCCCTTAATTCCTAGAGGAACATAGGGCTTCAGCTGCGCATCTCCATTGCGTTTCGGTTCTCTGCTAAAGTTTTCACCTGACTCCAAGTCTGCCCACATGCTTTCATCTCCTTTTCACATGACCTCCTCCAAGTCACTCTTGGAAGACCAACTCGCCGCTTCCCTTTTGGGTTCCACTCGAGCAATGGCTTGTCTAGTGATGTCACTTGATGGTTTTCTCAGAGTATGTCCAGCCAATCCACCTCCATTTCTTCCTGCCTATTTGTAGCACAGTTGGCTCCTGGTTGGTTTGCCCCCAGAGATCCCTGTTGCTGATCTTTTCTGGCCAGACATCTGATCTTGAGTAGTAGTGAGCGAAGACAGCTGTTGATGAAGGTATGTAGTTTGTTTGAGATGCTCTTTATGACGCGCAGTGCAAGTCTCTGATCCGTATAGTAGCACTGACTGACTTCACATTGGAGTTGAAAATCCGGATCTTATTTTTGATGCTGAGTGCTGTTGGCCTCCACACAGACTTGAGAGTAGTGAAAGCTTGTCTTGCTTTCCCGATCCTCGCCGCTTTGATATCCTCGTCAGTTCCGCCTGTAGTTGAAACGATATTTCCCAGATAGGTTGTTAGGTGAAGGAGGTTGTTTCTTTCAGGTTCCTCCCACTTATGCTGATTGTTGTGGTTGCTGTTGCCCAGCAATCTGCATCGCCTCTGTTTTCTCTATGTTCACCTGAAGTCCTATCTTCTCCGGATGCTTCTTCTGCCAACTTGTTCCTTATCACTTGCATATCTTCCAGTTTGTGAGAAATCAGACGCCTATATCATCATCGGCGAAGTCCAAATCCTACAAGTTTTTTGTGTTGATCCAATTTACCTCTCACTTACTCAGTAGTAAGATATGTGTATATCAGCTAGAGAGCCATCGGTAAATCTGGTAGTACTGGACATGTGTTTCGTCCTAGTTTGGGACTCTTCGGCAGTTCATCAGGCAAGTGGACAGTTTCTCATATATGACGCTAACTGGTGGCAGATGTTGGAATTCATGACCTGTTGGGTCATTTCCCGGTGCTTGACGTAGTGGTTCTGGGTTTGAACCGATGAATAGCTCCGAAGTAGGACGAAACACCTGTCCACTACTCCCAGGTTTTTCAGTCGTTCTCTAAACGATGTCAGTTCTTGATCAATCTTGTAACCAATCAAATCTCTGCGAACCAACACGATATATATATATATTCAGGTGATCCAGGTCCAAATATTACAAGGTGCAACAGTTCTTACTAGATGGTAGATACGCCTTGCTGACGGTTGCCAACACCAGCTTTCTGATGAGTGCCACCAACTGCATAATATTAAAACAAGTGTTCCCCTCTGTCACTTGTATATGTGTGTATTAATCCGCAGTTCACTACTGAATAATTTCTTGTCATAATTGACCTTATATAAGAACTATGGAGTTGCGTGGGTTAGGTGTCAGTAATTTGTTAACTGACCTAGAACTGTTTAATAAATCATTAATGTTGATTGAAATCTATCGATTGAATGTTTAGTGTTGTTGCGTGTTGTTAAGACAACTGGATACATTTTGTTTGGTGTTATTATTAGTATGTCGTTATTTATTCCATGTGTTCCGATTGGGAACACAACGCGTTGGCAGCTCCCATCATTTACTTTCACCTAACTTGACGATTATACACAAACTCAACTTCAGCAACTCACCGATTGACTTGTTTCCAGGTTATAGTGTCGTTGACTTAGAATATGCCGATGATAT